CCAAACGCATGAAAATGAGGGTTATAAAGACAGACCTAATCTTACATTGAACTATCGCAGTGCATTTGAGATCATAAAAGCTTCCATCAGAATTACTGCAGAATCAAATCACACAGGCTTCGAACTGACAGTGAGAAGGGCTTTTGCTCTAAAGAAAGTTTGATTGTGAAAGACTTTTGGGATGGAAACAAGCAAAGGTGGGTAAATGAGGAACTCCTTTGCCCAGCTGTTTGTATTTGAATGGTCTCTCTTGCTATTTGTGAGAGTGGTGATGTGGGCTAGGCAGCCAAGGAAGAACTTCTGAGAAAGTGGAGCAGACCATAATTAATTTTTTGAGTCTCAAAGAGCAAAGGGATAAGCAAAAGAGCCTGGTGGATCCATTGCTCCCTAGTCATTCGGCCAAATCATTCTGTAGAGGTGGCGCACATGTCAGACCTGGGAGGCAATTTCCTTAAAGCTGGATTCATCTCATAAATAAAGACTAGTCCTCTTTGCAACAATTGAAATATTTGAAAACTGCCAGGAACAAGAGCAATTTGTATAAATGGCACATTTTATTCACAAACTGAGGTGCAGACTCTCAAGGGGGTTTCCAGGGCACTTATTAAATATAATGAAATTTTGGAATGTTGAAAAGTAAGTGTAGGACTAAAAACCTTTGGAGTTCCAAGAGTTGATGAAAGTTTGGCTATTGGAAATCTGGGCAGTTATAGCCAAATATTGCTGGGAACAATCTTAAAGAAGAAACTCAACCACCTTTACCACTGGGATAGAATACTTCTTATTCCTGGTTTTACTAGTGGTGGCAATTCATACAGGTGTTGGAAATTCAGATAATTTATCACCTGAGACTTGTATACATTTTGCCTCATTTCCATCAGCTGGAGCTAATGACTGTGTCCTGTTTAAAATTAAATTTTAAAAAAGGTCCTTTTATATGGGCAGATGTGTTCATGAGTTTTCCAATATATCTCATATAACGACTCCGAAGATGAAAATCTGAATTATTAGAAGGTAGAGTCATAAGGTCAGAAACCATGATGTTCTACAAGGGAAAACAATGTGTCATTTTGGAGGGTACTAGATACTTTTCTTAATAATGATGATGTCAAAAAAGTTCTTGGATTCTACATCTCCTGAAATAAATGAATTTAGAGGAAGAGTTGGTGCCGAATGTATCTGCTATTGAGACATTCACACCTGGAATATTTATTTGGCTACTGTTTGATTGTGTTTGTTTTCCATTAGGCTGTGTGTGGCTTGGAGACTCTCCAAAGAGGTTATCCCAAATCTTTGTTAAAGCTTTTCATGGCTATTGACCTTGATCATGGACAAAAGAAAGGCAGGGAAATTGTGTTTATCAAAATGAAGGGCTCTCATAACGTGTGGTGGGATTTATATCTTTCCCTCAATCTGTCCAACAAACTGTGACCTGCTAAGATCATGGAAGGTTGGAGGAGGAAGGATGGAGGATTCAGATGGGGCCTCATTATGAGATTTGGAAAAGTTGCATTATCTTATGTGAGAATCTGTTAGCTGGAAACTATAATTGGAATTTTGCTGGCCTAATGTTGTGTATTCAACAATTTAGATTTATCATTGTATTAAATTTTGGGTGGTGCCGAGAGCTATGGATAAGTGACAACCAAAATGAATAATTAAATAGTCCCTTAGTCATTTTGATTGATCTTCGCAAATTCCTATCAGTTCGCTGATCTTCTGAATAGTGAACTGTCTAAATACAATATGCCATTTTAGATGCAGTCTCAGTCTATGTTCTTTTCAGGATACTGAAAATACCTGCATATTTGGAAATGAAGATGGATTACATTCTAGTTTAAGTGAGGAGACAGTTTTTAAACATTCATCCTAGATCTCTTCATCTGAATACCCACATGCAGCTATTTGTGCCAAATTAGCAGTAGGTAATGAATTCTGATTCATATGAGTCAGCCATTTCCTGTAGTGGTTAGAGCAGCAAACTGGGATAAGGAATTCTATTCCTATTCTGCCACTTGATTCACTGTGTGAGCTATGAAAAGTCACTTAACCTGTGTCTATTTCAGTCCTCCAGCTGTAAAATAGGGATAACGTTTACTCGCCTTTAATGAAAGGTTCTATACAGCTGAAAAGTATTTACCATCAGTTTGGAGCATAAATCTGCATTGAGGTTCATAAGCCTCTCTAAATATGTAATTCCTTACTACATTTGACCATGCTCACAAAAGAGGATGGTTGGCCTTTCCCAGTTATAGAAATCTGAACAATTACACTCAATACATCACATTTGTAACCACTAAGGCAGGCGTACAACTTCAAAGAGTAACAGCAGATTCATACACGATAGCAGCAACTACAGTGTTCAATTGAACAATATCTTTTCTATCTGATAACTGTGAAATATGGCCCTACATCATTGTTCTTTATTGGTTCCAGCAATTCAGTGTATGTCTGTATGGTACTTAGTGGGGTAAGCAGTATTAGGATCCAACTGCCTATCTATGGTAATTATTTTCCTACACCTGCACCTGATGTAGTTCTTTGCTGACTTCCTGTTTTTATCTCTTATGATTGCTCCTCAATGGCTAAGCAACATTTCGAAGCTGCTGAGGCTGGGATACTGCTAGACAGTTTTTTCATTATAGTCATGAAATATTATATCACTCCTGGATACTACCTGTTTGCTAATAATGTCCTGAGAAAATTTTCAGAGCGTCTCCTACTATATCAATTACCTCCACATGGGCAACTCCTTATGCTCATCTGTATGAATTGCACAGATATACCCTATTTGCTTGGCCTAAATCTTAACCTTTTAACCAGATGGGTGATTCAGTTAGGCTTTTTTTTTTAACAAAGAAAGAGAAAATCCACTGCCCTTCTGACATACAAAAAACACGTCTTTTTAGTGTTTGACTACATAATCCATTTGTCGGAAAACAGAGCCTCGGGTATATTTCACAAAGGTCATATTTTTCATTTGGTTTATGGAACACTTATAAACTAGGACTCCAAACTGTGATTCCCAAACACAAAACAAAGTCAAAGGTTACAGCATATGTTTTTGTTCCAGCCTCTTCAAATTACTTGCAAATGTATTCAAACACAATGTGAGCAGATACTTTATTTTATTGAAAATAACAGACTACAGAGTCCTGTAAAAAACAAGGCTGAGCTACATCAAGCATAAACATGGAAAAAATACATTGGTTTAGAAACCCATAAATCCTTATTTGAATCTGCCAACCTGAAAGCCAAGTAAAGCCCGAAAAAACTATTTTTCCTAAATGCTATGTCTGATTAAGCCATACTATTAAATGACAGCTGAACTTTAACATTAATATGATATTATTTAAATAACTGCATGATTTTTTTTTACACTAAAAATGATGAATGATTTTTGGACAGCTCAATTGACATAAAGTAAGAAGCCCCTTTAATGAGATTTGACAAAATGGAGACATATGCAGAATATTCGTTACAGCTCATGTCGCAGGGCCCTTCCTGGGGAGGCTATGGGGTTTTTTTTTATATTGTCTACAAGCACTGAAGCATCTCTTTCAATTGCCACTTCCTTTCTCCATGGATTTTGAATTTAGCTTGTGTCATTTACATATTACTCTTAATCACAGAGTTTTGTATGTTATGGTTCAGAGTTGGAAATGTGAGAAGTCTGTGAAATGGAGGCACGAAGTGCAGTTATCTTAACCTTTGTCAGCTGGGTATACAAGGAACTAAGAAAGCTATTTTCTGAAGGAGACTTATGGAGAGATAAAGCTTGCACTGAAGAATAACTTATAAAATTCCGTTTGCCAATATTTTCCGAGGCTAGCGATTAATCGCTAACTTAGCTAAAAAGCAAATTGGCTTAAACAAATACACACTACAAAAGGCTTGCATGTTGTGAAGAGCAACTTAGGAAGGGTCAGCTCATATCAACTTCTTGTGGAATATTCTATGAATAACCTATTCCTTAAAAGTATCATTCCTAGCATGTCCAATGCCACCTATAATTAGGGTGACTATTCTTTATGGAGCCAACTATAAGTCTAGAAATACAGACATCATAGTGCTACAAGTGTACTGCTTTGCTGAATAGATAAAACTATGTCCAAGGATTCCATTGGCTAAAACAAGCTTTCTGGTAAAGGTATTGATTTAAATTCAAGGTGGCTGGAAATCACTGAATATCTTTCTCATCCTCCCTAAAATCCCAAGTAGATTTTTAGGATGTTGCAATTTTTTTCTTCACACTTCACTTTAAATCCCAAGGATACATTTCCATAATATTACACCACACAGGAGAAGCATGCTCAAAACACAATGTTTTAAAAAGGGTGTCTCCCTAGTATGTTCAAACTAGAATGAATTATTTTAAATTATGCTCTGAGTATAAATTGTGTTATAAATATAAAACAATCAAATTTAAACTAATAGGTTAAAACACCCAACTGTATACCCAGGAATAATGGATGCTGTATCTCCATTAAACAGACTATTTTTAGAATAGGATAAAAAATGACAAATAGTTCAACAAAGGAGCCACACCTCCGATGCAATTGTACTTATCCTGTTTGGTGTGGTGCTCTGTTCCCCTCTAGTGACACCTAACCCAGCTACAGACTGATGAGTCTGCTACAGCTTTGGCTAATGGCCATCTAGCTTTTAGCTCATGCAGTAGAGGCTCAAACACTAAGCTTCAGAGGTCCCAGGTTCAATCCTGCCTGACCGACAACCAGGGTCTGTCGGCGTTACACAATGGAAAACTATTTTATAGCCAACCTAAATTCTTTTCCTAGTTTGTGCAAAACTCCTATGGTAAAACTCCCTCTCATCTGATTTTTCCTCAGTGAATGCTTCTGCCAACATCAATATTTAGTTTCAAGAGATTCTGCGTACTGGATTGCGAGGAAAAAAACATGCAAGTTAGCCAAATGCTAAGATATAATTAAAAAATAATAAAGCAGATAGAGACAGAGGCATCCCTACCTTGTCCTTACCTTCGCAACATTCCGGTTAGGATCCTGGAGCTCTTCCCCAAGTTTGCATCTGTTTCTCTAAGCTGAGGAGAAGAGGGTTATATTAAAAAAAAAAAAACAACATGCACTCCATTAAGTACAAACAGCAGAGAGTTCTATTGTATATTGGTTTAATCTTCCTCAGTTTTAGCTCGCATTCAATTCTAGTAAAGCTCTGAAATTTAAAGTGTAGATTTTTTTCCCTTACATAAAGATGAAATCTGTGAACGATTCAACAGTGGATGTAACAAAAAGCAAAGGCTCTACAAATAAAGATCTGAGGAATAAAATGCATTGCAGATTGGTATCTATATTTTCCGGGTGTGTGCGCGCGTGTCGTTTGTGTGTATCTGTCCTATGAATGTTACTGGGAGTTAAATGAGGGTACCAAGGGATGAGGAGATACCCAAAGGGTTAGCTATTCTTGTTTTTTCACATACTATTCTTTCAGTTGTTTTCATAGATGCTCCAGACAAAGCAATCTGAAGGAAAAACAATATCACAGAACAATGTCATATTATTGATACAGTGGAAAATACATCTTTAAAATATTTCCATAGTGCTTCTACAGCAAAGTTTTACCTATTTTAAATATGAAAGTAGGAACTAGTCTTACAGTTTATAGCAACTTTAATTGAAACGGATCCCAAAACACTGTACAGATTGTGCAAACTACTAATAGATGGGTGTATATGAGATTATATATCATATTATAATTATATTATAATAGCTTTTCCCACCCCTTTGGTGGAAAAAAGGTAGTGGTTTAACAGTGCTCAGCAACACTACATAGCCAACTGAACTTAATTAACTTGCTTGTTATAGAGCTCTATAGTAAATACTGCATTTTAGGCAAATGTCAGATTTAAGAGCAGTTTTCAGTACAAGAAAAGGGAGGCTATAGAGTCAGTCTCACTATCTCTCTGGCCTAATAAATATTTAAGTATTTATACCAAGTGAAACAACTCAAACAGGAGAGACTAAGAGAGACTAGCCCAGAGAATAGCTGGAGAATAGCTACCCCAGAATAGCCAATAGCCTGGTGCTCAAGGCACTCGGGTTGCAGTCTGTGCTCCAGAGAGGGGATTCAAACCTAGTTCTTCTACACTGCAGCTAAGTGCCCCAACCACTGGTCTACTGGATATAAGAAGTGGGGCACTACCACGGAGGCCTCTCCTCCTTGGTTTTGTGAAGTGCCTAGGTCCCCTTGGGAATCTATCACCAGGTTTCCTTTGTTTTTTTAAGAAAATGGTTAAAAATGCCTAAAATCACAACAACCCTTTCATTTTGGGTTGAACAAAACATCAAGTACGACCCAAAACTGTTTTTTGTTTTTTGGAAGTTTCTATTCACTGAAAATGCCCAAAAATGTAGGTTTCAGGGTGACCCGAAATGAGTATTTTTTTCCTTCAATTTTTGGAACTGCCAGTGAATCAAAAACTCAGCTATTTTCACACCTCTACTGTCTTCTTCACAGACAGACAAGACAACAAATTTGCTGGTTAATCCTGGTTATTTTACCATTGTAAAAAGCACATATCTTAAATTTCAGTATCAGACATCAGATGGGAAGGAACCTCCTCAGACATTGAGTCTTGTTTCCTAATCTATCTTTTCTGCACTGAGAGCAAAATCAGGAATAAAGCTCAGCAAAATCTATCAACTCTAGCAAGCCCTTCTTTGAAATGCATTGTAAACTACAACAATTTTCTCTGAAGGGGAACAAGAATAAAAACACTATAGAGACACACATGTACAGAGACACAGTGCAGTTGAAATCTAAAGGGGAAGATGAAAGGGAAACTAGAAAATGTGTTAGTTTTTTTTTCCTCCCCCACTTGATGAGAGAAGACTGTTCTACAACCTGCTTAAGCAGGTGCAAAAATAGGAACTGAGGGACTGTGTTGGTGGGGAATCTTTATACCCTCAGTTCTAGATTACTTAGGTCTTTATATCAGAAGCTTGCACCTCCCAAAGGCTGCTTGGAATGCCTCCATGTTTCATGTGGCAGAGTGACAGTTAACCACAAGAGAGGGGATTTGTCTGGAGAGTTCATGAAGGAGACGGGTATATATATATTTATTTTCTAAATTTGACCACACTTCATCCAACATTTACTTCTTCATTATAAATTCAGATTTAATGGGTTGCCTGATGATTCAGCAGGTAGGACAATCAATGCCTTACTGCTATTAGAGACTTCAGTTTGGGAGACAAAACATATTCTGCGTTATAAATCCATAAAAAGTAAAAGGGCAACTGTAAGCGGAAATCTCCAGATAATGAAGAATTTTCGCTATCATAAGTTACACCCAACAGTATCTATTGAATATCTAGTACATACGGTGCATTAAGAACAGCTTCCATTTTCTGATCTTGCAAATATTTACTATCATGTTTAATGCTCACCACTGAGAGTAGTTGCATTCACCACACTTAGTAGTAAATGACTGCCAGATAGGACCTTTAGTTATGAATGTCTTATATAATATTTTACAGAATTATTTTGTGGTTATATTATTTAATTAAATGCTACTAAAGAAGAACAAAGTAGAAGGATAGGAATAATTGACACTCCCACACCCCCACTTTGAATGAAAAGGCAATGTAAGCAAATGTGTGTGCTTTCCAGTTGCTCTTTTATTACGTGTAGTGATAGGCTCAAACACAGCAGGTCAGGGGGGAGGGTAATATGGTGTTTTCCCTCCTTCCTTTTGTTATAAAAAGAAGTTTTCTGCTTTTTACCTTTAAATATCAGGTCCTAACTTCCCTCTTTTTGCTGGAGAAGTTTGGCAAACCTGAAAGGTAAAATCACTGCTCAAGGTAGTGATTTTTATATTGCCACTATCCAGGTCTGACAAAGTTCACTAGCAAAATGCAGGCAGTCAGGACCTGATATTCCTAAGGTAAAAACAAGCAGAAGAAAAGTTAGACCAAATAGGCAAACAGCCTAAAGGAACAGTAAAAGCACAACCTCTTCTCTTCTGCATTGGCAGAAAACCCAACATACAGATTTTCAAATCATAAATGCACTTATTCTAAAACAAAATATTTCCAAGATAGCTCTTCCTCCATTTCCCTCCTAATACATGAGCTCACCGATGAGTGCAACAACCGATGACAAAAAACCCAGCTACGTCAAGCCAGAAAATTCTGTTTTAGCTGGTTGCCATGTCATTAGCTGTTGATGTACAAACCTAAAACCCCAAGCATGGCTGGCAAGTGAAGATAAAAATGGACATTCAAATAATATGGCTTGGTCATATATTGAATAATCTGTTATTCATAGAGATACATTCGGGGGGAAAAAACTTTGTTAACTTTTTCTGTGAAATTGGGAAGGATGATCTTGTGGTTAAGGTTTGACAGACTTCCTGTGTGACCTTTGGCAAAATGGGTATAACAGTACTTCCTTTTGGAAGGTGCTTTGAGATCAGAAAATGAAAATCTATACAAGTGCACAAGTTTTAAAAAATTGTTTATTTTAAATAATAGGAGAAAGAAGGGAGAAGGAAATAAATGAGGTGTTGGGACTGAAGGAGTCGAGTGGTATGGTGGGAATTAGAAAATCTTGTCTATTTTACTGATAATTTTGTATTAATCCCTAAAACCCATTATTCTTCTGAACCCTGCCCACTCTTGGTAAATTAAAATGACTCTCGCAATGTGGTTCCCGCCATTTCCTTGGGAGTCTAGTAAATCTCTTTGTGGGATATTCTTCCTGATATGCAACCTACATCTTTAATTTCTTAGATCATTCCAAATATTTTTAGTTATGCTCCATATCAATCTTAAATTAATGCACTCTTTGCCATCTATGGAGTTTACATTTTTCAAACAGAGGGAAATTATTATAATATCTTTAATGTTTAGCCAAGCTATATACCTCTATCTATACATCTAACTCATTTAAACTTTACTATAAGTAAATTCAACCAATTAGTCAATATTTTCTCAGTAATGAGGGGCTAAGAACTGAATGCAATATTCCAGTCCAGCGCAGTCATATCTGAGTCCTATAGAAAAAGTCTATTATCTCCTTGCTCTGTAACATGATGCCTCTGCATGTGTAGTGCAAAGGTATTGGCCACTGAGGGACAATGGCCTCCATCTTTGGTCTTTTAACAACAATTTAGAAAATGGGATACATAGAGATGTGAGCTAAGATCACAACCTTCAAGTGGACCTCATGCCACAGACATATGCTGTCATTTGGATCTAATGGAGACCTGAAAACGGTAACAAAAGAGGCATATAATGGGACTGAGTACTAGGAATTTGAGGTCTTCCATTTCTGACAACCGGTTGTGACAAAGTGCCTCCTCTACCTTGGTGGGTCCAGCGCTTATTGGCGGATTTGCTTGCTTCACAGATTCACCCTGTGGGTCAGGAAACAGTCCAGAGACCTTCCCTTCTGGTAGAAGCTATAGTCCAGGTCAATTCCTCCTGTGTTTGATCAGGAGTTGGGAGGTATGGGGGGAACCCGGGCCCGCCCTCTACTCCGGGTTCCAGCCCAGGGCCCTGTGGACTGCAGCTGTTTAGAGTGCCTCCTGGTACAGTTGCACGACACCTACAACTCCCTGGGCTACTTCCCCATGGCCTCCTCCCAACACCTTCTTTGTCCTCACCACCGGACCTTCCTCCTGATGTCTGATAACGCTTGTACTTCTCAGTCCTCCAACAGTATGCCTACTCACTCTCAGCTTCTTGCACACCTCTTGCTCCCAGTTCCTCTCACACACTTCCTCTCCTCTGGCTCCCTGGCTCCCCCTGGCTTGACTGGAGTGAGCCCTTTTATAGCATCAGAGGGGCCTTAATTAGAATCAGGTGCTTAACTGCCTCACCTGACTCTTAGCAGGTTAATTGGAGTCAGGTGGTCTATTAGCCTGGAGCAGCCCCTGCTCTGGTCACTCAGGGAACAGAAAACTACTTATCCAGTGGCCAGTATATCTCCCTTCTGCTACTCTGCTGTTCCCAACTGGTCTGGGTCTATTACAAGGTCTTTGGATGGCTTATGACTGGAGGCTCACCAGTCAGCTTCCTAGGAAAATGTCATTCCTTCTTGACCTGGCTACAGGCGGGAACAGGAAGAAACTGAAAAACAAATTGGGCTTGAAAAAATTCCAAGACACACATTTATCAGGTCTGATTGCAGGATTGGGGCCAATTTCTTCCTTGCAAATGCAGACCCATTGACTTCAATGGGACTACTTGTACTAGTCAGAGTTTGCAGGATCAGGCCCATATTGGACTTTTACTTTTTAATACGTAGTGATGGGTGGTGATTACAAATTGTGATATAATAGTTGACTTATTTAAGGCTTTAATCAATGTACTGGATTATTTCTGTTTGCACAGTGAACTTGCCCAAAGCACACAAAACCCTACACCAACAATTCTTTATCGTCAAACTTACCCTTTCCCGAGAACGCTGGATCTTCTCTCTGTCTTGGCTCAGGTTTTCCAACATTTCCTGTCCAATCTGCTCTGCATTAAAAAAATCAAAATGTAAATCATGAAAAATACAGCTTTTCTCTGTAAGCCCCCAACATGCCAGGTTAAATTCTAATAAATATATTTAAAGAAAAACAGCACTGTAATGTATGAGAGAGCCTAATCACTCCACCTAAATGGAAAGAAGAAATAACTAACAAGCTTTAAATGTCTTAAATAGCATACATATGAAGAAGTAACAATCAAACCAGAAGCTGTCACCTTGACAGTCTAATGAGATCGTTTAGGCTACAGGGATTCACGTTCACCTTTGGTCTACACAACAATGGCAAGAAGAATTTCATACTTGTTCTGAAGGGTGGGAGTTCATACTTCTCACATGTTCTTAACCTTTGTCTCTCCCCTTCTTTTCCCTTGCTGGGAAATATCAGGAAGTTTTTACTAAGAGATACCAGCACAGTTATGGAGCTACTGAAACAACAGACATTAGTGGAAGGCCTTTCTCCCCTAACTCCACCTGCTACTAAAATGAAATTCTGTTATTTTAGTGTTAACCCCGCCCACCCTCCCCAACACAACGGGTGTTTTGCTTTGCTCCACTGATGGCACATCAGGATGTGTCTAGCATTTCTGGTAGGCTTGGAGATGTGTTCTGTTGGGCCTCTTAGTATTTCTGATAACAGTCACATTAATCAATCGGTTGGCATCATCTCTTGTTTATACTTTGGCTGGTTGCTTCCATAGCCCATGCGGGATTAAATAATTGCAAAATTATAGGGAAAATTCAGGCTTCAAGACATAAGACAAAGGCTGTGAACAAGGGCAGGACTTTCCTTTTGAAATAACTTTAATCTCATGTTAACGTGAAATAGCTACTACAGATATGCACGTATAAGAAAATAATACCACCTAGTATATAAAAGAGATTTCCATCTTCAGAGCGCTATACAAACATTAATTAATCCTCACTACATCCCTCTGAGGGAAGTAAGTAAGTTATATGATCCCCATTTTACAGAAGGGGAAATGGATACAATTTGCCTCAGGCCACATAGCAAGTCTGACACAAACAGAAGTTTCTGACTTCCAGTTCTATGCACATTCCTTTAAGCTGCTCAGCCTAGCTGTGCCAAAAAGAGAGTACCCAAATCAAGTATATTGTATATTTCTCTAAATATCAAAAACACACATTGCTATTGCTGTGTTATTGAATTGTGAACAAGTAAGATCTTGATATTTGATTCTTATAATTGTAGAAAAAGACCGAGTCAAAAAAAATAATCAGTAATATATCAACATAGCAATACTTACAATTTTAAATGGGGACATTTTCAGGACATGATCCAACTTTAAGCTGCCTTAAACTTTTTTTTAAATATGAGGCAAAGAAACCCTGGACATCTTTTTTCCCCCCTTAATAATAACTTCAGTGCACAGTGATATATATTCTGTCAGCTAAAGACCAAAAATATTCATTGCAGTTTATATTGCTGGACCCGTTGCCAAATACAGTACAAGTAAGATAAATATTTCCTCAGATATCTGACCACAAATTGACATCCCCATTATGCTATCTTGTCCCTGCTGGCTTGCAGCTCTTTACTTTTAGCTGTATATACAATGCCTCCCAAAGGTGAAACGTGGTAAGATATGTGGTTACTGAGTTAAAAAGCTGTAAGGTGGAGTACAGCTATACAGATGGGAGAGTAGGAAAAGTGACTCAAGACTCATCTGCACGTATGTCCCATAACCCACTGGATGAAACTATAATGCGCTTATTATCAATCACTATTAAAGCATTTAAAGTATTGGAATACATGAAAAGATACATATATTCACTGTATTTTTTAAGAAAAATATCTTTTATTTAAAAAGTAGAGTAAAACAATCAGCCAAATTCTAGCAAACTAGTGTCAGCTGGAAATATTTATTCAAAATTTGGTGTGTGTGTCTGTGTGTGTGTATAAAAAGAAGAGTCAGGAGTAGATTTCTTTCAAAGGAAGAAATAAAAAACACACTTGCTAAAACGGTCTGGTATTTCACAAACAAGACTCAAAAATATCTTTGTAGGATGCAGCTATATATTTTTATATGCCAACTTTAAGAAAGTTACTGTATTTTTTCAAATCTTTTTTTCCTATCCATGGTATGTTCACATTCTTAGCTTTTTATAAGGATTTAGTTTAATTTTCTAACCATCAACGTGACAACAGCATCAACTGTAACTGAGAGTAATCCACCATCACTTTGACAAATAGTGTATTTTCCTCTCATTGCTGATGACTGAAGACATCAATAAATAAGGAAGGAGAGCATGTCAGCCAGAATATCACAAAATGAATTGTTGATATGATACTTAGGGATTAAACCTTCAGCCATGAAGTTCAAACTGGCACAGGGGTCCGAGAACTGAGAAAGCCGCATTTCCTTTCCAACAATCTCTACAGATACATAACTGGATGGATCATCAATTTTACAGGAGTTGTTTTACTCTATATGCACTGCATTTGATGATCTTTGGCCCTTTTTGGGCAAAAATAACAGCGTTAGTTGAAAGACGAGACCTAACGGAGGTGACACTAGAATTCTGGCTACCAGTTTGAGCATCATAAATTGCACCCTTGATCTAAGCATCCTATAGTACAGCTCTTCCACTCTCAGAACTTTTAACTAAAATCTGTGAGACTTTTGCAGATGGAAGGTCAGCCGAGTCAAATCAATAATGTTTAAAAAATAAATAAACGTAGAGAAATGCACACAGGTAAATGATATAAAGCACCTCTTCACTTTTCTCCAAGACTGCAGGATTTCCATGGGCAGGGGAGTAGCAGAGTTAAGCTCTTAAATAGAACAATTTACCACTTTGATATTATTGCTGTGTGTTTGCTATCAGATTACATTATATTCCTCATGTCCCTGATGTTTTCCTGCCAGTTCAAACCTTCACCAATCTTAAGTAAATGTATGCATTTAATCCAGGATTGCAGCTTAGATTCTTTCAGACTACTTATCTTGTTGAATCAGTTACTGGGCTACTACAATTACACACAGTGGCCAGTTTTATAAAGTATGTTGTTGTTCACATGCAGGCATTTAGGACCAAGACTAGAACCTAAGAGATATCAGATATTGTAAATGTGCTGTATTCATGGAGCCTTATGTCAAGACTGTAAGCTTTTGATCTTAAACTATTTTTTGGGGGAAGGGGTGTGCATGCCTGTGCCTGGGTAGTGCCAGGACGCAATCAGTAGATGCTGCTGTAACACAAATAAATCATAATAATGTTAAAATTAACCTAGGCCAAGTGAGATTCTGAAAGTGACCTAAAATTATGTTCTAAAAATTACAGCTAAAATATCCCAAAGCAAAAGGCGTAAAAACCATTTATACCACTATAATTTATGTACTAATTGACAAGGCAAGAACAGTCAATACACACATCACAACATAGCTTAAGAATGAGATAATAAACTATAATAATAATAAAATACAATCCCGCGCAAAGACAAAGACATCATTGAGCATCAGGCTTAAAAGGACAACAAGTATCAGGCTTCCCAGGCTACACATTTATTTTGCCTTGAAGCTATTAAAATCAGGTGGGGGAAATCAACTACTTCATCAATGAGCAATTTGACAGTACCATTATTTTTTGCGTGGCCTTCTCAAATGATGTTTAGTTCTATATGGGCAGGTTGTGCAAGCAAAAAGATGATAATATCACTTCCCAGAGTTTTGCACATGATCAGATGCATAAATAAAGATGCTTTGATATGATATGGTTGAAGTTGTGAAATGAATAGTCATGTTCATGGCAGCCCCATTCAAAAATAGGGGTGGGAAGCAGTTACCAAATAGAGAAAGGAAAAATCTGCAGGAAAAGTATTTATACTTACAAGAGTCTAACAGGATATTGAGAGAATGGAAAGCAAAAAAATAAAAATGAAAAAAAACATACACAGTTATTTGAAAGCATCCCTTTAACAGCGAATCTACATCATAGGTTTAATATTTTTTTTTCTGCTAGTCTCTATTATTTTCTTTTTCATGCATAAAGAAAAACCAAGAATCCTTCCATGGAATTTACAAAATGCATATTTATCTATCCAACAGACTGGAAAGGCTCATTCACAGCTATACTGGTCTCTTGGGTAAATACATTAGTCATTCTTTAAAAATGTGTATTATTGACTTGAGTGATTAGAGAGGCTCTTTCAAAATCAGTCTAGCCTGTAAGGTAAATAAATGCTTAAGTGGTTTGAAACCAAAGAAAACAAGCAAGCAAAAATTATGTGATGTGCCTGATGTTACATCAGCATTAAAAAGAACAAAACAAGCTGGATAGGACATCAATTATTGCAGTTTTGTGGGTGTATATGTGTGCATGTGTGAGAGAGAGATGTGCATACATATGACTTGTACGTATTTTCCCAGGTTGCAATTTATATACAAATAAAAGCTCAGATAACCTCTTAAATCAGCTATTTCCAACCTTACTAAAATGGAGATTTATAATAAGACAATGTATGTTTTACACAGTATCTTTCATATCAAAACTTCACCCCTTTGTGTGGTATATTCCTGCACTTATCAGTAAAACGCAGCACAGGTCTTGATGTGGTAAGAAAGGGTTGACGATAGGCGTGACCAAATTATAGGGAGAATGTTAGGTGGCTTGTTCAATACGGCTTCACATTTGTGTTCTACATACAATACATAGACTTACTAGACATACAAACAGAGGTGAGAAAGGGAGACAGATTGACTGACCACAGAGTGTGAAGTAAAGATAATGTTAAAGAATTAAAAAGGCTGTTCAGATGGTCAGGGCAGAGAGGTGGAAAAGCTGCCACCTATGGTGGAGAGGAAGAGATAGTAGGGTGGGAAAGTCTAAGGCCCCATTTCAGGAAAGCACCATGCTTAAGTGGCCTTCTTAAATACGGATGATTTCTGGAATCAGGACTTAAAAGAAGCATGCATCAAATCTATGAAAGATCCTGAAATAGGAATGTATTTGTAGCGGGTACTGAAAT